TATCTTTCCATGATGAAATGGCAAATCTTACTGAAGAAAAATCTCAAAAGAGCGGGAAAAATATGACGTTGTCTGCTGTCTCTATCGGTATACTTTTGCAGAGTCCCTGTTGAAAAACCCTTTTATATTGGGTCGTTAATTGTATATTTCCGTTTTTTCAGGGCAATTTAAACACGATTTTATATTCTGTAAAGAAGTTTTTGGAAATATTTATTCAATATTTGAACCAATCCCTTTTTTGGGTACATTTCTTAACAATGCTGATGCTTGTGGGCAAAATCTCGTGATTTCAAGTGAAGGTTTTCCCAGCCAAAAAATTTTGCCAGACCGAAACATGCCAAATGTGGAGTATATGGTGGGTGTGATAGCACATGATCTCCTACGCTTTACATTCGTGTAAGCAATCCACTTTTCGTTGCCAGTAGCAAAGCGTTTCTAACTGACTCACTTCTGTGACGTTTGATAAGCGAATCACAGTCGTTAATGCGMTAAGGCAAAGTTTATTCTATAAGAATATGTGGGTTCCACATGCCAAGTTTCGAAATCTCAGACGTTGTGAGCTATTTCAAATAATGTAAGATTTTTTTTGTAAACACCTCATACTATATCAGCTGTTTAAATATACGAGTATAAGGGTAAAGCGTAAAGTTGGCTGCGAAAAAGTTCAAAGTGATCAGCTATTGGCAYCATACGATATTACTTAGTGAACGACGAAATATTTTCCCTTAAATTATCATTTGTCAAACTTTTGCAATAAGTTCCGTTATCTATGTGTGAAGATCTAAAAATTCTTTGCGTAATCTTTCCCAGAAATACTCAATCGAACTCATGCGTTATGACCCATTATCAATGTGCGAAGACCTACAACTTTTTTGCGGAATCTTACGGCGACATTTGTTGGGTTGACTGAGTGATATTTAGATTGGTAAAAATATTCATTCATTTCCTGAATGCTTGAGTTGTACTCCTCGAAGTATTATTTCCTGGAACATTAGATTATGGGAATCATACTACAGAGTCATATCTTTTTCGAAC